AAAAAGAAGTAAAGCAGTGGGGGATGTTATGTGCAACCCCCATAATTTTGGCTTCAGGAAAGTTTGTAATAGCACTGCGTGCCTTTCAGATGAGTATTTTCTTGTATACTAGTGCTTGTTCAACAGGGGAAACTGCAGACCTTTCTTGCTTATGCTTTGAGTGTATATCAGAAGGGCCTCTGGTGTATGTGTATTATACCCCCATAAACCCCATGTTCATGATCAATGGTAGCTGGGTCATTATCTGTCCAGAGTTTGGTTGATTCCTCAACTGCAACATAGTACTGAAGTGATGTACTTCATGATAGACCCCAGAAATGAACAGCAGCTGTACAGTGATATGAGAGCAAATTGTTTATTTGGCAATCTTGGGGTAATGGCTATTGGGATGCTACGTGGTCCTTGTGATTCCAGGGCTGATTATGTAATGAGAGCTATGCTTGGCCCAGTCCATTTACTCTGCTTCATAGAGCTTGATAGGAAACACTCATTATGGGATTGGTCCTTCTAGTCCTGGCACCGCTCTGGGTTCCAAGTATGCAAGGCATGTGGCCCATGGAGACTCCTTCCAATCTTGCCGCATGGAGGAATTGCCACTGTTATCTCCACCTGGGCAGGTGGAGATGGCCAGCATCGCACAAGTGGCCTTGTGTGGCACATGCTGCATGCGCCTTCCATGGGGACAGTGTGCATTGCACAGAGCCAGGAACCAGGAATTCAGCTGCTGTTGGGAGGAACATCCTTTTCTCCCAGCATTCCCAAGCACTTTTGTGGAGCATGCGGTGTTGCAGACCAGGGACTTGGTTGGCACTGGGGATAGTGGCTGCTTTTTCTGGCACTGGCTAAGTGGCTTTGTACAGTGCACACTGTCCCCAGAAGAATGAACCTGTGCTGTGTAAATCCCAGGAGGCAGATGACTGGCATAACTTGAATCCCTTTGCCTTTGTTTCCATTTCTTGCTGTGACAATCTTGGGAAACAGCTTTTGTACAGATAACTTTTCATACTGTCTTTTAAAAATCATCAGATACAGGGGGATAATTGAAACCAGAAATCCCAGCTAGGTACCTTTAGATACAGGCTGGTTGCCTGAGAGCAGTGTAACTATAGACAGATAGGATATTACTCCGGTGACAGAGCCCTGTTCGACAGCATTACATGTGTGCTGCTCTGAGCAAACCAAATGTGATGAACTAAGTTCACATCAGACAGAAGTACCCTTAAGACATATGTCAGTTTTCAACCAGCATTCTAAGATCAATCAAACTTAAGCTGGGGCAAAAGACTTTTGAATTCCATTCTGAGAATCTAATCCAAAAGTCATCATTGGGTAATACATTGATTAGGGCTAACAAAAAGCTTTAAAGTTTTGGGCATTTTTCTCATGGACCAGCATAGCTATCTTGTTTCTTTGTTTGGATATAGACTTTGGATTAAAGGATTCTGAGCCCAGGAATTTGGATGCAGAGTCCTTCCATGCATTTTACTGTGAAGACATTTTTCTGTTCCCACAGGAATTCTACCAGCAGTCAAAAATCCTTGCTGAGAAGTGGCAGAGCCAGAACCAAATTTTTCCTACCCTTGCCTTACAAAGCAAGCAAACTCCTTTCCTCATCTTTTGTTTTGCTGCTTGCATGTCACAATCTGGGAAAGCTCCTAAATGAAATGGGTAGTCCCAATACTCAGCTTTCACTGGCTTAACAGCAGAAGAGCAGCCAAGCTACATCAGACCAAAGGCTTCTCCAGTCCAGCACTCAGTTCCTGCAATGCCCAACCAGCTGCTTGTGAAAAGCTCCTAAGTGCAGCAGTTTCTCCTAATTTCTTGGGCAGCCATTAAACTGAAAAAACAGCAAAATGCAAATAAAACTGAACATGGCCCTCCCCACTAGCATTCCATTGTAGTCTCAAAATTAGCTTATTCTGAGGCAGTGTGCTGTGGATAAGAAAGGTCAATTAACAGTCTCATTAACTTAGCTTTATTTAATGGACACTGCAAACAATATTCAGAGGTCTTTTCTATATCATACTTTATGTGATCTTCACCTGGTTTGATTGTTTTGATAGCAGTTGTAACAGTTAAACCTGAAAGTTACATTATTATCAATATCTGAATGCGAAGTCAGAAAGGATTTACACTTCTTCCTCCTGTTTTCAAGAGATGTCTACACTCTGCTTAGTGTTCCTTTCAAGTTCTGAATGATTCCTGCCCCCCACAACTAAATTAGTTAATATACACAGAGACTTTCCTCTCTGAGATGTTAATGCTTGTTTATTTAATGGATGTATGTACTGTTTAATGTATCTCTAAGATGTTTATAAGTAGATTTAAATGCATCAAAATATGTTAAAATACAAGGTAAATACATACTTGCTAAAACATTTATATAAAATGGATAAAAAATTAAAACTAATGCTACCCAATAATTAAACAAATTGAGAAGGGGAAGGCCTGGGTAAAGAGATGGGCCTTTAACTGGAGCCGATGCATACTTGGCATCTCCAAAATGGCGGCATTTCACAAGATGGGACTCATCATGGGAAAGGTCTGCTTCCTGGTGGCGGCAATATGCTGGTCACCACTTTGCAGTGCCTCCAGCAAGGCCTCCTCTGATGGTCTTAATGATCATATGGGTCTGTGCTGGGGAATGCTATCTGCCAGATAACTTGGTCCCAAGCTGTTCAGGGCTTTACATACCATCCATAAGGCCTTGTAGTTGGTGTAGTCTAGTCATTTCAATGTACGTGTTGAACTAGGGTTGTCCTTTCTTCCTGGCAGAGCTCCTGTGCCTTTTAACAGCCTAACATACAAGAATTAAGAAAACAGTGCTTCTTGTCCCATCATGGTACGTGTAAATCCATGCTAGTAAAGGTTTTCCTTGTGGTGCAGCCCAAGCTTGCAGCATTATGCGTGCCTAGTGAAAGCCCATTCTAATTAGCTAACTCTGTATAGTGTGAAGCAGTAAGGCGCTGCTAAAGAGATGGTAGCAGACATGGAAAAGTCCACATCTCTGTATCTGATGAGGTGCTTGATATATTAATGACTGAGAAGTGTGCTGCATGTAAGGATAAGATTCATGCAGTGGTTCCCAGTTTACTACTCCAGTGCAAAGTTTTTGTGAATTCTTAAAATATGCTTTTGCCCTGCTATTTTGGGCTATCAAGAACATCAAGATTCTTGTAGTAATTATAGCTCCAGCTTATTTCTGATATACATCTTTCCCCCTTTTTCTGTATGTCAGTGTTACAGTTTCTGAATTAACAGACCCTCTCAATTAAGATCCTTATTGTTTGGCAAATATTTATGCACAATACATGCACATGGTTCAAAGTAACTCAGCCTGGCTTTGTGTGAGCAAATCATTTACAGCACAATCCTAAGCATGTTTACTCTACATTATTCCTTTTGATTACAATAGGACTTATTTCCAAGGACTGCTCTAATCCATGGCGAAGTTAGGCACACTTAAATCTATTTGTTTCAATGGGCTTGCATGTGCTTAACTATGCATAGGATTTGTGCCATTGTAAATGTCTATTTAGGATGGCACAAATAAGTCCAATCATCTGAAGAAATGGAACCCCTGGTATTTTATGTTATTTAGGCAAATAACTGCCTCCTGATAGCTTAGCCTGTTGTAACAAGTAATATTGTCATGTCCAGGCTTTGAAATTTGCAAAGGAATCCTACTGCTGTTCTTTCAGGAAGTTGGTGAAGACAGTTCTTTTTAGGAAGGTCTTCTGTGGGTAATCTTGCAGTTTGAATTTGTTTGCAGTTACAATACTTTAAAAAACAGTGCCTTTTGTCTTTCTGCTTCTATTTTGTCTGTTTTGTGTTACCGAGAGCTATTTTAATGATTAAAACATTTCCTTGTGAAGGTAGCTAGAGGGGTGACTCTTTGGTAGCTCTGCTTTCTGGAGAAGAGGCAGGATATAACTGTTTAAAACTCAATCAGCAAACCAAAGTGATGATTGCCTTTGAATGATTATGCAACTTGCTGTTCACCATTTGGGCAGTTTCCAGCGCTAGGTATTACAAGGCCCAAACCCAATTGCAATCTCTGGCAATGAAACTTGGAGCATTTCTGAGAGAAAGAAAACTAGACAATGCTAAATACCTAGATTTCTGCTAACACACACAGAATCATATTAACTTTGGTTCTTGCTGGGATTTATTTTAAAAAATAATTGATCTTAAGACATGATCCAAATACTGTCTCAGCCGCCTGGCTACTGGCATAGCAATGCAAAGCACCCAATCACTATGAGCACGTACTAACCATTATTCTTAGTACTGTAAGAGCAGTATCTTGCTGAATTACTTCCCTAAATAGGATTGCCAGCCTCAACTTTACAGTCCTATGCTGTTTCAGGAAATCGTCCATTCACTGCTCTTGCTACGGGTACTTCTTTCCCCCTCGAATCTGCTGCGCGCATCCTCGCGTACCCAAAACACTTCCACGGGGCTTGCATTGTTCTGGGAGAAGAGCGCAACGCTGATCGACTTTTCTCAGGAGCGGCGACCCAGCTCTGAGCCTAACTTGAGCGGAGTTTTATCTATTGTTCTCTGCCACGCCCTGGCTGCCTATTTCTGCCTTGGCCCAGCGATTTCCCCAGACAAAAGTCTGACTGAGAGCAACAGACGGTTCCCACCACCTACTGCCCCCTCCTGCTTCTTCCCTCGTTTACCCAGAAGTGCTTTGGAGCGCGTGTGTTTCCGCTGGGTTTTCCTGCCGGAGAAGGAAAGGGGGAGCTCTTTGCTGCCTCTGACTCCGGAGTATATTTTGCATCCGTTTCCACCTCTCCTCCTCCTCCTCCTCCTCCGCGTCGGCTCGCTTTGTCTGTAAGCTCGAGGAAGCTCTCCTTTGGCCACCGGCTGCTTTGCGCCCTGGGCGCAGCACCAGCAGGAGGAAGAGGAGGCGGCAGCGGCGGCGAAGAAGAAAGAGGAGCGAGGGAAAGAGCGACCGACTGCGTCCGGGTGGCGTTTTTATTGTTCGCGTGCTCGGGTGGGTGGGTGGGTGGGTGCGAGCGGTTCTGCGCGCGCGCAAGCCAGGAGCCGCCGCCTGCCCGCCCTACTCCACCGCCGGCTCCGGGCGCTACGGCGATGTTGGATGTGGCTGGCTGAGGAGGCGACGGGCAGCAGATGCGTCCTGGGAACGGCGGCGCTTTCTCCGCGATGGCGTAAAGCCGCTCCGAAGCGACCTTCGTGCAAGCCGGGCGGAGAGGTGGAAAGCGACTCTTTTCTAAATAAATAATAACAGTCACAACAACAACAAACTGCTCCGTCGGCTTTTCACCGGGAAGCCAAGCAGCGCCCCCTCCCTCCTCTATCCCTCCAATGAAGAAGAGTTTTATCCCGGAGTGAAGAAAGCAAGAGGAGAATAGAGGGATTTTTTAATTTTTTGGAGTGGTGGCGTGTGCGTGTGTGCAGGGGGCGGCGCTCTCTTTTGACCCTGGCGTGGCAGCGCCTGTTCTTTTTTGTCTATAGAGGACAATTTTTTTAAAATACACCCAGTAATAATAAAATAAAATCGAAGGGAAAAATGGCGAACGACTCTCCTGCAAAAAGTCTGGGGGACATAGACCTTTCCTCTTTGCGGGTGAGTGCGACCGTGGGGCTGAGGCAGGGCGGGGGGCTGCTTGCAGACGACCCCTTCCCTCTCCTCTCCTGCGATCCACACAAAAGCGGGCGACGTCTCCCCCGGCGTGGCTTTTGTTGTTGGGAGCGGGCTGGGGCGGAGGGGAAGGCAAGGGGAGGGGGAGGACCAGGACCGGGAGGGGGCCCGAGTTGTGTCTGTGTGTTGCTGGGGAGAAGAAGCTGCCGGGCTTGCCAGCGGGCACCTAATTGCTCTTGCTCAGGAGACCTTTCCAGGGCAGCTTGCCTGCTCCCCGTTTTGTTGCACCCAGATCAGAGCTTCTGGGAAGGGGGGGTGCGAGAGAGAGAGCATGGGGGGTGGGGAGAGATGAGTTCAGTCTTGGGCTGCTTTCCTTTGTTTGCATGTATTGGCATGTGCGTGGAAAAAGCAGGGCGCAACAGCTGCACAGTCCTCCCCAGTGTGTGTGTGAGTGCATGTGTTTTAGGGAGACGTCGAGCCAGTAATGATTTCTTATAAATATAATCCCCTGTGTCTTCTCTCTCTCTCCCCATTTCCTTCCCTCCCTCCCTCTCTCTTTCTCTTATCCCCTCCCTTCACCACACCTTCATTGTGTAGGATCCCGCTGGGATTTTTGAGCTGGTGGAAGTGGTTGGCAATGGCACATATGGGCAAGTTTATAAGGTTTGTGGCAGACATGTTTCTCCCTTAAATAAAATAAATGCACATTTTCCTTCTACATGTTCTGGTGATGGCAGGCCACCCTGCTTTGCAGACAGAAAGTGAATGGACATGCATCTGAGGGTTTGTGACACAGCTGTCAACATGTTGAGCTTTGCCTTTTTGGAAAAAATCTGCAGAGTTTCATAAGAGCTTTGAGAAACCTACAGAACTAGGTGGCTGCTGCTTCTAAATTTCAGGCATGAAAACCTTTTAATCATGTCTTTTGCTTCATAACAATTCAGCTTTGTTATTTGTTAAGCTGCACCAATATCCGTGTGTGGGGATAGGGAAATAAGGAATGATTTTGCCAGTGGTGAAAATGGACTAATAGCTCTTTCTCTTATACACACACTCACATACAGTCTTCCTTTGTTATGAATCTATCCAGCTTTGTTAAGATGTACAGACTGGCACTTCAGTGCCATTAGTTGTAGGAGGGTGCGGATACAAAAGGGTGGAGAGAAAGTGGGCAGACAAAAAGAGCAAGAAGGGTTATTGTCTGTCTAGAGAACAGAAAATCAAAATTCGTAGAATAACCTGTTTGACAAGGAAATTAATTTGGGTTGGAGGGGAGTGAAACAGAGGGGGGGAAGGGAAGATGCTTCAGAAGGTGTTCCTTTCAAAGGATGAGTTGGAAGTAAAGATGCCCCCTCCCTTCTGTTACGTAAAGGAAACAAATATTGGGATTTCATGGCCTGGTAGTGTTTAGTCACCCACATGACTAAGTTTTCCATCATGCATTTTATATGAGCAAAATATAAAGGCCAAACCTAAGGAAGTGTTGTACAGATAAGAAGCTAAAACTAACATGAGGTAACTTGTGTATTTCTTGTGTGAATCCAATCCTAAGAAGCTTGTCTTTTAACCAGCTCTAAAGACTGTTGCTTAAATGAGTTCCTCTGTATTGACCTATTATGGGGTCCCATAATGTATATTTAGCAAAAAAAAAAAAAAAAAGAGGAGGCATGTGTGTAGGGAAATCTTCATGGGCCTTGCTGTTTACTTTTTGGTGTACAGCCATCTTTCTGTTGCATTTGAAGAACTTTTCTGTTCTGTGAGTACCAATGAGTGCCATTGTTTTTTACTATGCTGTAAATAAAAGGAGCCAGGCCTTTGCAATGCTAAAATGATTCAAGATACGTCTGACTTCGAGATTGATTCATACTTGACCCTTTGCTACCTTTCTCTGATGCCTGTTTGATTATTTTCTATAATATCTTTACCTGTGAAACTTGCGTCACTTTGGGTGTGTTCACTTCCTGCAGCCTTCCCTAAAAAAGGGCTGTATAGATTTATAGCCCCTTGTAAATCAAATCAGGAGAACATAAGCCAGTTACTCTGACTGCTTTTCGAGCTAATTAGTACATTTTCTGAGTAGATGGTCTGATTTCTATGAAAAGCAATGGATGACAATGCTTATGGGACTGACATTCACAAAAAATGTTTTGGACATGTAAGCAATGGTTTTTGCTAAAACTAGGCAGTCAATATATACAACTATGAAAGAGGTTGTGTATGCCTAGGAAAGTTGTATACGCTGGTGGAATATCCCTGATACAAACAAATGCATAACCCTTCCCATGCATGCACTACTTTTGTATCAAAAATTGTATCAGATGCTCTGTGTTTCATTTTTCTGTGAGTGCAACAGAATCTGAATAGGTAGCTGGGTGCACAGGTGTCCAAGGTAAATATGCTTGACATAATCAATAGCCAGGCAATATGGTTAATGTTGACCAACTGCTGACTACTCCTCAGTGTGGTTGTATTAAAAAAACAAAAGCAAAGGGGAAAAACCTTCTGGAAAGTATTCCTCTGGTTAATTTCTGTGACAAATTGGTACTTGTGGTTGAGTGAATCCATGCAGAGCTTGGTATGTGGCAAACCAGTGTTACAGTTAATTTGTCGTATGGCCAACCCTCAACTGATAGCACATTTATGTCAAGTTTCCCATGTCTTGGGCTACTGATAATTTCACTTCTGGCACCTTTGTCTTAGTAATACATATCAGTTGAGCTGCAAACTAGGGACATGGCAAAGCAGTTGCACATTCACTTAGTTATATACTGAGCTATGCACAAATGTGCAAATTTCAGTATTTCTATCTGGTCTTAACAGATTAGCATGTGCTCTGTGATAGCAAAGAAGGTGGGCAATTCATGGATTTAGGGTTTTCTTTCTAGTACAGGTATTTACTCACAAATACAAGAGAACTAGATAGTAAATCTTAAGTACCTGTGTCAGTTCATGATAAGAAAGCTTCATGAGATATACAAGGCCAATCTTAGACTTGTTCTTAAGTGTTGTCATCAAAGAAGTCTACCAGCATAGAGCTTGCTTGCTGCTGGATTCTCATGAACTTTGGGAAAGGAACCAGTGGTGACTTACTTTCTCAATTTGTGGATGAGCTGTTTCCATGCCATGTGATTTGCCTAATAACCCTTGTAGTGCATGAATTGCCACATCATCTGAGTTCAGCACCGTGTGACAGAGTGGCTTTGGAACCATCCCAGATCCCTACCATAAGCCATGAGTTCTGGCATGGTTTCAAAGCCACTGTACCTGCCTCCAGGTTCACACAACATGACAAACTGAGCACCCTGAGGGTAATCAAGAAATAGGACAGCACACAGGGATGGGCAAAAGAAGCCACGATGCTTGTGTGAACCCAGTCATAATGTCAGTTTACAAATGGAGGTCAAAACAAGGTGTATGCTTCCTAGTGTTTAAAGGTAACAAAATGAGTGGGTAGTCAACGTGAAGGAACAATAACAAAAGCCCAGGTTTGGCAGGGGAGTAGCGAGGCAGAGTTAAAAACAATCAGGAGTTGTGTGGTGAGCTTGTTCTTTGGAACGTGAATTGAGTTTAAATGTAAGACAGTAGCTGTTCACCTCCCACAGAAGTTTTATAGTTCACGTTGATAGAAATGGTTAAGTTCACTTGTAGCATGGTGAGCAAAACTGCTGTTTGGGATGAGAGAAAATGCATTGTCTGGAAAGTAGAGTTTTAGAATGTGTAGAGAGAGGAAATCTCTCCACGGAGCTGAGGTCAATTGAGTCTTACCTAAAAGGCATGTACAGACTTGTCCAGGAGTGTTCCTTTTTTCATTGCAGAATGGGTTTGAAATGTTCTGTTGCACAAGTTTTCCTGTGTTTATATTGTGTAGTCTTTCTGCTCTTGGAGAGACAATAGACCAAAATAGGTGTAAAGTAGCTCAGGACTGAGCATGCTTAGGACAGTAAAACTACCATGGGATGGGAGGACAAAATTAGGTAAATGACTTGGACTGAGCAGAAAGGTTGTCAGTGGTTTTACTTGGTGGTTTGCAGCCTTTTCTTTTGTTAACTAGCTCCATTAATGTTCCAATAAACACAAATGGTTTTGGTAATCATCAACTTGGGGAAGAAACTTGTGAATAATGTAGTGCCAGTTAAGCAGTTCTGTAAATAAGATTCAAGTGGCTTAGACTGTGCTAGTACAATGATAGTACCTAATAGGTTGCTTGTGGCACATGACAATATGAAAGATGTGCATTTATTTGTGTGGGCAGCATATGGATTGCTGCATGAAAGGGCATAACATAGGGTAAGGAGTTGGGCTTGGATGATCTTTTGGGTTCTTTCAGTTCTGTGAAGTGTCTTAAAAGGCAGATGATTCTTTCTTGCTGGGAAATGATTTCATGAACTATGTAAAATTAAAGCTGCTAGGTATCTTAGATACCTATTAATGTATCTCCCCATCATCACTTCCTGCTCTTTTCATGATCTTGAGAGATTCCCTTTGTTGAATTCTGTAAGTTAGAAACAGGAATCTGCCTTGCACTGAATCAGAATTGGTCCATGCGGCTTATTATTGTCGAAGTTGACTGGCAACTTCAGCTCCCCAGGGTACCTGGCAGGAGTCTTTCCTGGCCCTAACTGAAGATGGTGGGAATTGGAGCTGGGACCTCTGTGTAGAGAAGGTACTCTGCCACTGAGCAATGCTATGGTAGACTCCCAGGTTGTGCTGCTGGCTTTGTGTGCTCTTTGGCTTCTTGGGTTGCAGTGTGAGGCAGAGCGTGGGGGCAGTGCTCTACATGTGTCCAAGCATAAATAGCTTCTTTTGAACTGCCTGAAAGCCCCCAGTGGCTCCTGAGCCTTCCCTGCTGCGTGCCAGCTTTGCACATTATTTTGCTAATAGGCATTGCAGTTAGTTGCCATCTCCAATCCCATTCCCACTGCGGTGTAATTTTCAGCTCAGTGAAAAACTGTGCAGCTGTGGCTAAGTGGCTAGAAAGCCAGTGTGGTGTAGTGGTTCAGAACTTGGGACTGGGACTCAGATGATCTGGGTTCTAGTCCCCGCTCAGCCAGGGAGCCAACTGGGTGACTTCGGGCCAGTCACAGACTCTCAGCCCAACCTACCTCACAGGGTTGCTGTTGTGGGGATAAGATGGAGGAGGAGAATGATGTAAGCTGCCTTGAGCCCTGTGTAGGAAAAAGGCAGGATATAAATTGGAAAATAAATAAAATAAATGTGCCTTCCAGATTTTAACACTGGAAAGGTAGGTGGGATAATGGTGGCACTTGTCTTTCTGTTTGCTCTAGGTGAGTAACAAATTGCATTTCTGTTGTGTTAGAGAGATTCTGATTTGTTTTGTGGTAAGCTGGGAAACTTGTGCTTTGGGTGATAAGCGTGAACCAAGTATTCTGGGCTACATTATGCTTTGTTTCAGTGACTATAACTCTGGAGGGAGTAATTTGGCAATGATGGCAAAGCATGCAGGCTTTGCAAAAGACAACCTAGGAATGCACCCGATGGTTTGCTTTCCCTTCTCCCTTAAAGAGCTGGAATAAGAACTGAGTTTTACAAAGGAAAGTGTCATTCCAAAAAGAGCTGCTGTAAATACTTCTCATGTGTGTTCAGAGACCCCAGCACACGCTAATGATTAGGAAGTAATTGGCATGTTAGATTTGAGCTATAAC